TAAGAGTCTTGTCACTAAATGTTTATTGAACATTAAGATGGAAATGGGGTGTGGGCACAGAAAGACATTGGAAATAACCATATGCCCAGGCAGGAAAACATTTTAGTCATTCTGGTATTGAGTGTGAGAGAAGGGAGAACAAGCATGTATGCAATTAACCAATTAAACAAGAAAATGTTTCATAGCTGGGATTTCAGCATTGTACCAAAGAATTTGAAATATAAAAGTGAAGGTTGGGCCCCTGCATCAAGAAACTTGGTGTCTGGTTGAGAAACCACCACACTTTTGTGATAACTGCTGTATTCAATACCGCCGTATACAGTAGTGGGACAGGTTTATTACCAACAGATATTTGATAAGAAAGTAAGCCCTAGAACAAATGGAAAACGTTGTTAAAACTTACCAAGTACGCAAGTTCCTTTGTAATGTATCTGCACGTAGGCACAAATCCAAAATTCCAACAGGAAATATGCAAAAGTCCTTTTTAGTTCAAAGATAGCCAGATATTACATAAAGGAGACTAAATAGCAGCATAAAATTCAGTTTTAAAAAGTTGAAGAAATGTGTCATCTATATTCAACAGGAAATGTGAAGTTCTCAAATGTCAATTCTACTAGGCCAGTTTCCTCTGATCCAGATGATATACTGTTTTTCATAAAACAGTATATTTATGGAAGAATTTCTATTTTAAAGATATGTATACACACACACACTGAATTAAAAAGACTCAATAAAAATGTTAAAAGTACGAATCTCTAAGTGATGTGATTATGGGTGGTTTTTATTTTCTTCCATTTCTTCTCTATTTTTTTTTCAGATTTCAACAATGGAAATGTATTACTAATAATAAAAAAGGAGTAAGGATTTAAAAAAAACTACTGTTAAACACTACTGCTAAAACACAAAAGAAAAACAATGTGAGAGAAGGCTCTCAGACATTCATACCTATTTATGAATTCAGTATTCCAAATTCTAATGCTAAATAGAATGTGCTGTTTCCTTTACAAATTCAAAAATATGAGGATTGGAATAAACTGATTCAGATTCAAATAGCTGTTAATTGAGCACACTAGAGTACACARTACCAAACTGGAGGCCAAAAGCTGAAGTCCATAAAGGTTCTGGGTACTAAAAAAAATACAGAGCAAAGTGGCTGAATACTGTTCAAAGTGGAGAATTTGATGACAAGTTTCCCCTACCTCCTCCTTCCTTCAAGAAGATATAGGAAGCTATTATGTAATCTTGTTAGAACCCCTACAAATGGGAAGGTAACTTTTGCAAGATGAACCCTTTATGTCCATCCATCTTGCTGGCATTTACCTACTTATTATCTTTTTCACTCTTTTCCCTGGAACCTTTTCAAAGGCTATCCAAAAAAAGGCCTAMAAAGCCCTCCAAGATATGATGCTCACCTCTACTTTCCTCATATTGAAGACCCCAACAATAAGAGCTACTTATACACTRGGG